CATGCCTTTGGATCAACTGATAGTGTAGCAGGTATTGCAGTCACAACTTTGAGCTGGGAAACCCATTTACGAATCGAAGCAGTGTTCGTCAAAATTTGTCCCATGCCCTCTGGCGCCGCTACTGCAGCCGATGCGGTGTCAGGAACCTTACGAACGTAACGTCTGAACGTGAGTATCTAGGGTGCGGATGAGATCCATCGGGGATCTAATTGCCACCTGTGTACCCGATGCCTCGTGAGAGCCGATGGGTCGTGTTTACAATGCATAAGTGCCCCATGTCTGAGTCAGCAATAGTTCCTGAGGAGGCCTTACGCTCGTCTTCTAGCCTTAGCTAGCTCCGCTGGTATACAACACTGGCGGTGCATGGGCGAGGCGTTACAGCCCCTCCACCAAGATCATCCATGCGCATGGTATTTCCAAACGTAAAGGTTCTTTTACATCGAGATCATGGGAATCCGGGGTGTCCGGGTCCTGGGACCATGTCGGTGGCACGTCCGATGGATCCGGATCAGGTGGTCCAGCCCCAGGTGGCACCAAACCAAGTGCTGCCTTGGATGTCACACTTGACATGCCCCGTTTGCGGCGAACATAAGACGACAACAATCGTTGGATCGTCGAGCGGCCTCTCTCCCTAATCTTTTCTGCCGTCGCAGCAGGCATCTCACTCGGTGATGTGACAATGCGCTTGACCACAACCGCGATCTCGGTCGTCTCTTTCGGTGTAATCTTTGCCAAGCGGCGTGTCAGTTTTGGTAGTTTGTTCGCGGCATTCGCTGCTGATGTCTCTGCTCGGTTCCCCGCTGCACCAGCAGTGCAATATTGGTACTCCTACGTAGGCGAGTCTCCATTTGCATCGTCGAGAGCAGCAGTAAGGTTGAGACCCCTTCTTCATTCGTATTATCGAATCGAATCCTGAGTTCAACTAGTCGTTTGTCATTATTTTGTAGACGTGGTGCTTGAGACAGTGGTCCATCTTGCAGGTTAATTTCGGTAAACGCACCGCTAGCAGAAAGCGCTTCATCGGTGATGGAGCCGCTTCTTCTATGTCTGTGACCATCGCAATGACCATGAGTCGTCAATGGTCTAAAATGCTCGTAGCACGGCCGGGTCGGATCAACTGCGCAAGCAGCAAAAAGTTGGAGGCCTTAGGAGCGAATGATTTCACCTGCATTGCTACGGATGTATATGTAGAAGGAAATCGGACAGGAAGATTATGCAATATGACATGGTGATCTTTACTTCGTTTTCTGACCATTGCTTGTGCTAAATCGAGGCCGCGTCGTCGTTGAAGGAATCGCACACAGATTCGCCTCATCGATGGGCCGTTGGATAGTAAGTAGAGATCTTTAGAAAAGTTTATGTTGCTGTCAAAAGTCACGGGCCCTGCTTCACCCCTGAACTAATGACCCTGGCATGTACACTGTACTCAAGGTGCTGATCAGCAAGACGATTATCGAATGAGTGTGCATTTCATGATGATCTTACCCGCATGATAGGCGACAACACCACAGAAAGATCCCAAAAGTTGGAGCGACTTTCATTTCTTGCCACTCTGTTGGGTAGAGAAATGATGCAACTTGTTCAATTCAATTCCGATCGGAGGTAGTCTAGGCTCATTACGGATATGCTGATCTAGTCAAGACACACACCTTGAAGTGTTTGTTGTCTGCATGATAGTAAATGCGTAATACAAATATTGACCACTACTTTAGTCCCAGTGCGCTCGCTTCTAGCTTCTATCTGCATGAGCAGCCCTCGTAAATTGCGTCCCAGCGCTCCATTCTTCTTAATGTGATGGGAAACACCAACCATGAGCGTCATCATTCGAGAGGGTATCAGAAAGCCAGTATACTGTGACGTTATCGGTCATCTTGAAAGCACTTCGAATAGCATTCCGAGAAGCCATAGCTAGTCACGACGATTCTAGTCGCAGCAACTTTGAAGATGGTGTTCAAACTTTCGTAATGGGTACATTCCTATCAATCCCGCCGACGTGAAGCCCATTAAGGTTATAAGCCTGAGCTTTCCTGAGACGAAACAGATGGCCCTTGTACTCAGCCGCGTTGTTGGTCGTGGCGACGGCGGCGAGCGATACGCTGCCTATCCATAGAATGACCGGCGGTTTGGTGGCCATTCCGCTTAAAACAGTGATGGAGTTGGCGCCCCCAGGGCCCGGCATTCCTCGCGCACCCCCGTCGAAGAAGAGTATCGTGTCCTCTCTGTCACGTATCCAACAGAGCTCCTGTGGCACCCTCCCCGAGGTGGCAGAAAAAGCCGCATCTACAACCCATGCCGCACGACAGACCACCTCATCTTGTGTTCTCGTCAATACAATGTCTCGTCGCGTTAGCCGCCCTTGATGTAATCGGCCACGTAGTAGTAGTGTTGATCGGCGTATCGTGTTATCTAGCGTCGCGCTCCTGCATCTGCATCTGCGATTTTAGACTGCTTAGAGCGTGTGTAAAACGACTATACGCCAGTATTCGTTTAAAGTGTCATAGCATCCGCCATATCTCTCCTTCTGCTGTGGCCACTGGCAGGTTTCCGTAAAGTTGCTGCAGGACCGTCCAAACACCGGCCAGTTTCTGGGAAAAGTGGACAGGACTTGGATTGCAATTGGAGAACAACGATTTAGATTGCCAATGGTGCCAGCAGGCATGCGGGGCCGGGTGTGGACCAACCGTCTTAAATTAAACTGCTGCTTTGCTCACTGCTGAAGGAGGATGCACGCTTTCAGCCATGTGCTCACGATGCATGTGTATGAGACAGGTCCTAGTCCTGTGGTCATTGAAAGCTCCACGGTTACGTCACTGGTGGCGGCCGGACTTTTATGGACCTCGAAAGGCGTGTCCAGTGGCTTCGTGGTGATTGGGATGACGGTATCCCGCTCACGTTGATATCGTATCTCGAGAAAATTCGCTATGAATGCAACGATTAAAGGTCGTAAAGCTGACAGAAAGCGTGAATCTGTCGCCGTAACGACTAACTTTGACCTGCTAGTCCTGTGCGAGCCGAGAATATCCCCTAATATGCATCGATTCATATCACTTATCATCTCCGCAGCCGGTTTAAACACTCCAGTAGTCGTGTGCAACGGGTAGTTGTTCCGGTTCAAATAGGGTAGTCACACGATTTGTCCCGATTCATAGTGCGTTGCAAGAAATCCTAATTGTTGCTAGCTCCGATCCCAGCATCTTAATGAGATCGAGTTCACATGAGGTGTCATCCCATACTAAGCTCGTGGGCACCTTATGCTCGACGTGCGATTGAAAGCTGGCAACCTGAGCTGCATGTCCTCCTGTCTGTCCTGACCTCCCATATTCCCCCAACATGCACCGCCCTGTTCTGTTACATATTTGCCAGTCCGCGACGGCCGTGTGGAGATGGTCAAGTGGCTAGTCGAGCACAAACGGGAAATGTGTCGTAATGGGTTGATTAAAAAAGCTGCTTGGCACGGTCATTTGAATGTGGTTCGCTATTTAGATGACAACACGAGGCAACAAGGTTCTGAATGGGATGGAGGTGTTGCCGCTAAGGTTCTTGAAAGGACCTCATAACAGCCGGATGAGATGTAGAGATATGACGTGTCTATCTCTTAATATTGGACATGTCTTTGATCGAAAAAACGTCGAGAACTTTTCGTAGACTAGCTAACTTATAAATAGTAGTATGCCTATGTACTACAGACGATGGCTGATTGCACCTACGCTAACTGACAGAATGTTAGACACCAAAGACTTGATCGTAAATTTGAGTGGTTTCACTCAGCTGCTGACCACCGAGAAAGCAGATGAAAGTATACGTCGCACTTGATGGCCCCTCCACTAGGATACCTGTACGGGACATGCATATTGAAACTTTGTCATACCAGAATTTCGGGGATGAAGGTGCCAGAACGTTGCACACGTTTTCGGGGATCTGGTTTGACGTTAGATAGTTTTTCCGCAAACGTCTACTATCCATCAGATCCACACGCCATGATGCAACGGCCGAAACGACTTTTATCGTACCGAAAAGCACTTGTCGCTGAAAAAGAGGGCGCGTGTGGGCTGCATCTCAGTTATATGGTAAGAGCATATTCAACGAAAGTTACAACCACGCGCGGTCTCGTTGATGTCACGTGGGGATTCCGGCTGAATTTTTTTTCGGCTGCACCTACCGTCGTTGATCAGGCGAGGGTGCACAATCAGAGAGCGAATCGAGGGTCGCCAAGCTCAAGTCGAGCCAAATGTCGCGGCCCGACGGTTGAGGTCGAACTGGCCGCAGCTTTGTCATTTCTTCTTTGACAAAGCTGCGGTGCTGATTGCGGGCAGGTCGTGCTGTCACATTGCCGTTTCAAACCGACACTGTGGCCAGTTTGTTGTTCGGCCAAACGGGCGGCGGGTTAATGGACAGCTATTTCGATACGTCCTGCAGGTCACTTGCGTTGCAGGACGTCACGCGTCGCAGGTTGCAGCCACTTCCGTTCGGAAGATCGGCCAAAGTGGGACCGTGTGTTCAAGCGATCTTTCGTTTTTTGTCTTATTCGAAAAGTTCAAAGGGGTCAAGTTGGGCTCATTTATCGTCAGATATGTGGCATCTAGAAGCAGCGGGGGCCACAAGCAGCGATCCAAGGCCTTCGGGCGCCACGTCTGCAGACTAAGACGGTCACGCGACAGGCGATGACGAGACGGAAGTATCTGATGGCCGTTTGGCGTCAGTGCTGCTGCTAATCAGTGGGGTGTCCGGAACAGTTGCAAGCGACGCTCTGGCCTTTGTTCCACCTAAAAGCTCGCCAAACTCGGTTCGAACGAGTCATTTACAAATTCACCATCCGTGTCCCACCCGAACACTACGAACACCCGCCTGTCCGTCAGCCACACAATCTCATGATGAGCAGTATGCCTCTCTCTGCGATGCCCAACACTTTCAACGTCATGCATCCACTGCACTGCGGTCCGTCGGTCTTCCATCAACAACATCAGCTTCCAACCGTCAATACTTTTGTAACGACGCCAACAATGTCTCCATTGCAATTGGCGTCACCTAGTATGACCCCAACAAAGACTCGCGCACAACCTGCGGCAGTTCTCAACAAAAAGGCACGCAAAAGTCGCGTCGTCTTTGACTTTACCACAGACGAAATGGCCAAGTACTTTCATATGTCACAACGCGAGGCCGCACAGCAACTCGGTGTCGCTACTGTTACCATTAAACGCAACTGCCGGCGCCTCGGTATCGTCTGGCCCTACCGCCTCATGAAATCCAAGAAGCACGCCATTAATTGGTCGGCCATCTCGCGCGAAGATGCACAACGGATCCACCAGGAGCGTGCTCTAGAACAAGCCAAGGCTGGTCGCTCGCCGTTTAGTCGCAGCCACAGTCGTAGCCCGTCGGTTTTTCGTTTAAATCCTGCTTCTGACGACGAGGCGGCCGCCAAGGTCATGACCATGCTAAGTCACTGCAGCAAAATGAAGCTTACAAAGGCCGGTCGCGCCTTCGCACGGCTACCGCTGGATTGCATGGACACCTCTGACTAGACTGCTTGAGCTACTGTATATATTTCTTCAATGTCTACTCGGTGGTGTCGCCTTCTGGGTGACCTTAGTTTACAATATCCATACCAACGCACTGCATCCTAGATAAATTAATTATAAATATTGAATCGACTACAACAACCAGTACATGTATATCTTGTCTTCTCACAAGCACGAAAAAAACGGCCTCACCAACTGGAATACTTTTGTTTTCACGTCAACTTTTATACGTCGTTGTAGTCTAGACGTAGCTTACGACTGCGCATGCCACTCGTTGCTAGAGTTGTTCACGTAGAAGTTGTCAAATGACGGGCTGTACGTCCATCGGAAACAAGTAGAGACCGCACATGTTCGGTCGTTCTCCTCTACAGCATTTACGTGATCTTCTGCGCCAGCATCGGCTGCAGGCACACTACCACTAAGTTGCTAATTGCAGTGTTGCTCTCAAACAAACACCTACGTATCATGCGGTCGCCCCCCTGCGTCGCGCTACGTACAAAGAACGTGTACGAAGCAGAAGCTCGGGTCAGTGCACGATTCACCAGCTCCGTCTTCTCGGACAAACACGATTCAACACCACCTTCAGCCGAATTCGATCGTGTGATAGACAACGGAACGTTCATACAGTACCAGAATCGCCGTGGTGTCTGACATTAATCACTTCAGCTATGATCCCATCGTAGCTGTTAGGGCACATACTAAAGTCTTCTCTTACTCTGTCATTTCCTTACCATCTAGTATTTAAGATACTGTGGCTACCTCTTCGGTCCAAGAACTAGGTGGATGTTGTCGAACCAATAAGTATATATACTCACCCATGTAGCCCTGTTTTGGTGTGATAGAGGTCCTTGTAGCCAACAAGTGTCATCTTACATGTCCCCGTTCTTTAATTCATGACGTCGTCGATGATGAATTTGCCGTTCATGTGGAAAGTTTTCTCTATTTTCAATCAGAATGCACCATGTTTTTGGGCCCGTGGAAGACCACGACAATGGTGTTCATCGAGTTCTACTCGCAATGCAAGGTATAGTAATACAATATGGGTGCTACAAGGTATGACTATAGAGGTAACTATTGTTTGCTAATTTGTTCATCTATATATCGAATACTGAGCATTTAATGTAAGTAATGAAACACAGAGATATACATGCAGATCGAGTCAATAAAAAACAAATGCTGTTTTAGTGTAAAAGTAAAGTTTTCTTTTATAAATCGAGCTGATTATTTAAAGACATTTACATTTGGTGTCCAGACTGAAATGCCCACATTCATGGTTACAGCAACGGTATCGTATACATTGTACATCAAATAAGTGCTTTTTAGCAATATAAACCTCTAAGATAATCAGATCATTTTGACCAATCGAAAGCTTTTATAAATTATCCACATAAAAAAACAAAAGACATTCATTCTGCAAATCCGCATTTTCGAGGGATATCACTAGCGACACGTGGACTGTATCGCTCCATCTCTAACAATCTCGTTCATCTTGTTCTTTCATTTGTCTTGTAATCACTATACAACGTCATGTTTGATGGTAGTTTTAAAGCTACACGAAAAGTAAACCTCAGTGGACGCAAAAAAAGTGCTTTTCCAACACTATCAAATTTCAGAGGTCGCGATGAAATTAATGTATTAAATTCTAAAAATGAATTGTTACTTCAGAATCGGCTGGCACGAGAGAACCGACTTGCTCTGAAGAGTCGCATAGCTGCTAGTATCCGGATACAGGCCCAATTTCGTCGTCGAAAAGCTACCACACAATCGAAAACTGCAGTATTTCATAAACTGGAAGAACAATTGAGTCAAATTCTTCATGAAGATATTCAGAACAAGCCAATACCGACACAACAATTGCAGATTTTAGTACGACACTTTTTATTCTCAAGACCAAATAATCAAGTCATCTCGGATAAAATCCGTCAAGTTCAGGATTATTTAGTCCTTTTACTACTTGTAAATTGTTTAAAAGGGTCTATGGAGACTGGCACTAATCTGTTAAAAGCAGAAAAAGACATTATATGGATATATCAAGTTACGAAAATGAGTGAAATTGCACTCTACACATTAGTACAAGATGAAGAAAAGAAAACATTTGAAGAAAATGCTGGAATACCAATGAACCCTTATTTGATATTACTCGACACATTGACAAATGAAACCAACTATGTAACCCTAGAAGCACAGAAAACACTTGCTAAGGTATTATACTACCTTGGAGTTACGACGAACTATGGGATTTTTGATGCTGTGAGAGCATGTATTGCTTACCAAGCAAAAAAAGGAGTATCTCGTGTGGAAAATGACCGGACAATTCAAGTGGTTACAAGGATCACTGCTCAAACATTACGATTATCCATTCAAGATGGAGATGATCGAGCTACCAATATTACACGAGCGTTTGCAAAGACAATTTTACTTTCTGCCTCATCAGTGAGTTCTTTCATTATAAGCCATGTGACGGCGATGGCATTGCAAACAGAGCATCTTTCTGATGGTGAGAAAATAATGAAATTGGGGAAATTTTGGGCATCAGTAGTGCAACATTTTCGGGACGAATCGATGGTGTCAGTACTTTCGTGGCAAAAGCGTGCAATCTTAGTCGGGAACGTGATAGAGTTGACGTCCATGTGCTTGTTTGATGAAGCTCTTGTGGACGTTATCCCGTTCGTGATATCACAGTCGGTGACCCCATCATTGGTGCAATGGGCGTTTGATGTGAAGCATACTCAACAAGACCCTATGGTGTCCAAAGAAGATTATGACATGGATGATGATGGACAAATATCGATTATTCCTCCAATCTATTTGTCTGCTGGAGACTATACATTGGACGAAAATTTGCAGCACGACGCCAAAAACCTAGGCGATGCTGAGATAAGTGTGCGTACACAGTGGCAGAAGCTTTGCCACTCGAACTTTAGTGCGCGGTGTCTTGACTTGCTGCTGCGTGCCAGTGAAAGGTCACCAGAGCCAACGCAGCCAGATGAGAGTGCTGTTTCTCATTTTTGCCACGTTTTGGCGATCGTGCTTTTGTATACAGGACGATCGTACATGCTGACTGTAGCAGCAACGTTTGCGAACCCTCCTTCAGCTTTGTTTGCTCTGCTAAGTGCAATGACCGTCGATGCAGGCGGCTCTACTTCTTTCACCACCAACACGAGCCTAATCAACAGTATGTGGCAGTGGATTGATCGAAGCAATAAGCGCATCACTATTCAGCGCTCAACGGATTCGCCCGCAAATCTTCCGCCTGTGTTTACAACATCGCAGTTGGAAGTGCTGCTCATCTTTAACGTCGTATACAGTCACTTGCTTCTGGGTCTTGTTGATGAGACGTTTTACTATGGGCAATGGCCACTTCGTTTGGTTGACGTGGAAGCTTTGGTGGCGTTTCTGAAGCAGTTCATCTACGACATGTGCTGGATAATTACTAGAAACAACACGTTGTCAGTCAGTAACATGGACGAAAAGGAGCTGGTGTTGTTCTCGACGGTTGTGACATCTATCAAGCTATTCAACCAGCTTTACGATCGGGATTGTCGACGTCGGTTCATGCTCGATGGTGCGTGGCTGTGGCCTTCGATGCCTGTGATTAAAGAGGTCGTGGACCTTGAATTGATGAAGGAGGACGGCAATCATGATGCGCACGCAATCTACATGCTGATGAATGGGAAGGTGCCAAATTTATATGCGCGCGCGGCACTCATCCTTGTTACGATCCCGCAAGTGTTGTCATTTAACGAACGTGTACAGCTCTTTCAAAAATTGCTCGAAGACGGAAAGACACATCTTGGCCACGTCCGTGACGAGTTTTCGCGGGCTTTGCACGTTGAGGTGAAGCGTGATGAGATTGTAGACGACAGCTTTAATTTCTTTCAGCAAGTGTGCGACACCATGTCTCCTGCAGCCCTCAAGCTGCGCATCAAGGTCACATTTTTTAATGAACAAGGACTGGAGGAGGCAGGCGTCGACGGTGGTGGCGTGTTCAAGGAGTACATGGACAGTTTGACGAAGATGGTATTCTCGCCAGAATACGGCTTCTTTCTGGAAACGGACGAACGTCTCCTTTATCCTAACCCAGGTGCTAGATACGTCGTAGATACGCGAAAGGAGGCGCTCGACCGCTATCGCTTTCTGGGACGAGTTTTGGCGAAAGCTGTATTCGAAAATATTCTTGTGGAGCCGCAGTTCGCCGCATTTTTCCTCAACAAACTTTTAGGCAAGTTCAACTACATTGATGACTTACATTCATTGGACCCGGAGCTGTACACGTCGCTTATGCGCCTTAAGCACTACGACGGTAATGTGGAGGACCTAGCTTTGACTTTCAGCGTGAGCGAGATGGAGTTTGGGAAAGTGGTGTCACGGAACCTCGTACCGGATGGAGCTAACATTCCCGTCACAAACGAAAATCGAATTCGCTACATCCACTTGATGGCCAACTACAAGCTAAACGTAGTGTCATCAATTGAAAGTGCCGCATTTCTCAAGGGCTTTCGCGATTTGATCCCGGGTACATGGATTCAAATGTTTGCGCCTGCTGAGCTGCAGATGCTTATCGGCGGCACTGCTACGAATATCGACGTCGATGACTGGGAACTCCACACGGAGTACGGAGGTGGCTATCACCCGTCTCAACGGGTTATTCAGTGGTTTTGGGAGATCGTAAGGCGGGACTTTACGACGGAAGACCGTGCAGCGTTGCTCAAGTTTATTACAAGTTGTTCTCGTCAGCCTTTGCTTGGTTTTTCGAAGTTGGTACCACAGATTTGTATCCACCAGGTCCGTGTTGAAAACGACGAGCGGCTACCATCCAGTGCCACGTGCATGAATCTACTCAAGCTACCACATTACTCTAGCAAGGAGTCTATGCACAAGAAGCTGCTGTATGCCATCCGATCCAACGCAGGCTTTGACCTCTCTTGATTAAGATAACAACGACGTGGAAAAGAGTCGAGAAGCAGTATGAGTTGGTGAGCCATTCCCGTTCGCTCGTAGTATCAACACGAAGGACCTGCTGAGTGTGATACAGCTTGAAAGTCGACGATGGTGAGGAGCTTGATCGATATTGATTCAGCATGTCTTGAGCGCTTGGTCAATTCCGAGGTCCTGACATTATAAACCAGCTGTTTTTCAAGTGTGCGTAAACAATTTGTATACCCATGTAATTCGCATACCTCATCATCTTACTAACGTAATCACCTTGTCGTCTATCGATTGGCTACAATTCCATTCAACCTCTCATTCCAATTGGTTGAAAATCTAAAATTCCACCAATCAACCAGATCTCATCTTATAGACCTCTTCGCTCCCCCCTCCTCCTCCCTCCTCCTCTTCTTCTTCATGTACAGTATCTCTCAACTCGTGGCTCTGGGCGTGTCGATTACTATCTGTGCAACTGCAGTACTCTATGCTGATTACTTTACGACCTTTTTTCCCACTCGTGAAGCTTTTCTAAGTGTCGCAGAGCAGCATCAAATGTTAGCGTCATTATTGTTCCATGCGTCGAAAAATGGGGATGCTGCAGCTACTTTTGCCAATCAGAACGACGCACGTGATCCCCCACGTCTTGCATTTTGTTGTAGTGCTGACTTGGATGTTGCTGTCTCAGCTGTGGCTCTTATGAAGCGTGTACAAGAAGTCGAACGTGAGAAAATGGAGAAAAATGACTGTAATGACTTGGAAAAACGGCATCATGAACGGATCAGCTCGTTCCAAGAATTGCAAGAGAGTTTTGCGTACTATTTTGCTTCTGGAGCTGCGGCAGAGCAGAGTATGTTGTCTTCGGAACAGTTTCGAGAGGTCGTGAGCTTAGCCGATGATCTTCCTGGAGTTGAGAGAAAAGTTGGAGGAAATGCTGCTACCATGGCAGAACGAGCATCTGCAGAAGGATGTATCGTGTTATTGGGCGCTGCTATTGGAAAAGAGATGAAGCCACATTTTCGTGATGCTAGGATTCAATTGGTTGGAAAGTTGGAGGAAGAACAACATGAAGATGTACATCTTGTGTTGGAATACTCGAGCGGAGACGAGTTTCGAGGGCATATGTCACCACGTGCAAACCGATATTACTTGAACCATGATGTGCATAATGCACGATTGTCAGTGCTAGAGGAGTTTGAGCAGTCTTTGGATGCTTTTAAACCGGATTTGGTGGTTTTTGGAGGACTGCAGCTGATGGAAGTGGAGATGGATGAAAAAGCACGGTTGGTGCGTCTGAAAGCTTTGTCAGACGTACTTCAGAATCTCTTTCTGGCTCAGACACCGACTCATTATGAGTTTGCAGCGGTTTCGGACTTTAGTCTCTTCGATGATACGGTTCGACTTGTGCTGCCCTGGGTGGAGTCTATCGGGTTGAATGAACAGGAGCTCTTTATCCTGCATCACTACCTCGTTACTGGTGAAGAGGGTACTGCTACAACGTCACGCCCAACGGTTGCAGAAATCAGTGCTCAGCTTCACGATGTCATTCAGTTTGCTTCGAAGGCCAAAGAAAATTTTCGGACTGGCAGCCAAAACAAAAACAAGAAGGAAGACAAGCAAGGGACGCTGGCGTTGGCGCAGCTCTCACGCATTCATTTTCACACATTACAATTTCACATTGTGTGCCAAAAGAAGGGCAGTACATGGGAAGACCCAACGACGGCGCTAGTGCAAAGTGCACTCATGAGTTCCAAGGTGGCATGTGGCAAGCCAGCCCCAGCAAGTGACGGCGACGAGCCTCAGCTTATGCGTACCAGTGCTGAAATGGAAGTAGACCCGGAACGCATTGAGATCTTGCTGGCCCGGCAGCAGCTCCTGAGCAAACGTCAGGGTCTCAAGGTGGACCTGGATCCATTCTCACCCGTGGTTACGTGGCAGGAGGCTGACTTTCAATGCCACCTTGTGCCAATGTTGGCCTGCAAAAAGCCCGACCACACTGCTGGACTAGGAGACAACATTTCTGGCACGGGCGTGTCATACCACCGTATCCAGAAGAAGAGCAAGCTCGCTTACTAAGCTCAATACATGACCAAGATTCGAGTAAAGCCACCTCTTCTATTATATCACAACGAACCAAACAATAGCAACATTTTTGCTTGCTTAGCTTCAGGCCTTCACCACATCTCGTCTAGTTGCTACCAATGCGGGAGCTAGCACCAACCTTTACCATCATGCGTGTAAACCATGGCTTGATGTTTGTCTCACGCATTATATCATTGTACGTGTCCAGTCCGTGCATCGCACGTAGGACACCAAAAACTGATAGGTCCGCCATATTGGGCTCGTTACCTCCAAGAAACGGACGTTTGTCACCAATAGCATCCACCCAATTATCCAGTGCCAAGTAGAGCGCTTGACGTTCATCATCAATCTCGTATTTCTTCTTGGATCTCTTTGCAATGAGGTACATCACCACAGCACCAACATACTTGGACACACGACGTTCCATAGGTGTAAACTTACCCTCCGTCAAACAATAATCAAAAGCTTGCAATGCTTCTGGTATTGTACGATAGATATTAGGTGGTGTTAGAACAATGAGTTTCTTATCAACCCATTGACGCCACAATTCTTCTTCTTCTAAACCCTCTGTATCGTCATCGTTAAAAGACATGACAAGGTCCCGTAAATGCGAGATAATGACCGAAGAGTCCACAACAACCTCATTATCCATTCGAACCACTGGAACCTTGGAATAGTCGGTAAAAGCCTTGGTCTCTTTCTTCGTGATTGGATTCACTTCTACCACTTTATATGGAATGTTCAAGTAATCTAAGACTGCTTTTACTTTGCAGCAATAGGGACAAGGTTCATATTGATATAATACGACACTTGGCAGTCTATTTTCACTTGATTTTTGTATCGAACAAGCAGATGCAGAGCAAAAAGCACATGCAGCACTAGTACTGACACCAGCGGCAGTAAGCGAAAAAACTTTTTGAACCCATGGGGAAATAGATACCGATGCAAGTGATTGACAACGTGTAGAGAGGAAACGATTGCTAATGAACGTAAAGGATTGAGAAGAAGAGACACACACGAACGCCGTCGGAATCAAGTGCAAATTACGCGGGCCACGCACCACCAGTCGTTGGAACATTGTAAAATGTAGCTATCTCGGAGACGCTAAGTAACGTTAAGTGGGTTGTACTGGTACTGATACCGGGATTCAGATACCAGTATCATATCGGTTCATGTAGAACGTCTTCTTACGCTCTACCATTACCGGTTCTTTTTTACTTGTCCGTTTTGTACCGTCTTTATTATGTAGCCATATCGAAGTGACTGGTCATCATGAATCCATCAACAGCCACTACGCAATTTCCCGTGTCGACGTCGAAACCTTTTCCGTCTCTCTCTCTCTCTCTCTCTCGTTCTCTCGTTGCAAATGACGTCTCCTCTTGTCAAGAAGCAAAAAACAACTTCTTCCTTGCTTCGTTTCTATCGGACACGAGCATTTCCAGCTCATGCTACTCGGACATTACTCGCATCTCTTCGTGCACACGTCGCAGATCTTGAGATCCATGACTTGATGACGGAATACTGCTTTTACATTGAGACAAAAGCTTCTACCGACACGTTATCACGTCCTGAGCAAGAAAAACTGCATTGGCTTCTTAGTGAGACCTTTGAACCAATGCAAACACGTTCGACGGACCCTTTTCTTGTCGTTACCGACCCTACAAAAGAATATCTCGTGGAAATCGGACCACGGATGAATTTCTCAACTGCTTGGTCTAGTAATGCTGTAGCCATTTGTCAAGCTTGTGGGATCTCAACCATCAAGCGTATTGAGCGTGCTACTCGCTACTTAGTGACGTACACAGCTACAAACTTTACAAGTGTTGAAAAACTCAAGCACATGCTGCTTCAATACGAATGTGATCGGATGACCCAAGAGGTTTATGAAAAACCTTTGACGAGCTTTTGGCATGGAAACACTGTGCAACCGGTACGGCAAATTCCTATCATGGAACGAGGGATTGAAGCATTGAAGGAGATCAATGAGGAAATTGGGTTGGGCTTTGATGATTGGGATTTACAATACTATTTGGATCTCTTTAAGCAAAAGTTGCATCGGAACCCGACGGATGTCGAGTGTTTTGACATGGGACAAAGTAATTCCGAACACTCCCGTCACTGGTTTTTCAGTGGAAAGATTGTAGTTGATGGTCAAGAAATGCCTCAAACACTTTTTCAGATGGTCAAGGACACACTCACGGAAAACGCCAAACAAAACAGCATTATCGCCTTTCATGACAATTCGTCCGTCATTAAAGGTGCTACTATCGTAACGCTAGGACCTGTAAACCCTGGGGAGCCATCACCCGTGCAAGAACGCACCCTTGACAGCCATTTGCTTTTAACGGCTGAGACACACAACTTTCCATCGGGTGTGGCTCCGTTTCCTGGTGCTGAAACAGGTACGGGTGGTCGGATCCGTGATGTGCAGGCCACTGGTCGTGGTGCAAACGTCGTTGCTGGTATCAGCGCCTACTCTGTGGGTAATCTGAACCTTGAAGGCTACAAGCTCCCGTGGGAGGACGAAAAACTGGAATACCCGTCTAATCTTGCACACCCGCGTGACATCCTCATCCAGGCTTCCAATGGTGCTTCGGACTACGGTAACAAGTTTGGCGAGCCTGTTGTGACGGGATTTGCCCGCTCGTTCGGTATGGTATTGCCTAACGGCGAGCGTCGTGAGTATATTAAGCCGATTATGTTTTCGGCTGGTCTTGGCCAGCTTGATGGTCGTCACTGCACCAAGGGTGAGCCGGAGATTCAGATGTGGGTCCTGAAGATTGGTGGCCCGTGCTACCGTATTGGTATGGGCGGCGGTGCTGCCTCCAGCCGCATTCAGGACACGAAGACTGCTGATTTGGACTTTAACGCTGTGCAGCGTGGCGATGCCGAGATGGAGTGTAAGTTGAACAAGGTGATCCGCGCCTGCTGTGATCTAGGCGACAAGAATCCTATCGTTTCGATCCATGACCAGGGCGCTGGTGGCAATGGTAACGTGCTGAAGGAGATCGTTGAAGTGTCAAACTCGAAGCCAGGCGATACTAACCGCGGTGGGGCTCGCTACGAGTTGCGCAACATCCTAGTCGGCGACGACACTCTATCCGTTCTTGAGATCTGGGGTGCAGAGTACCAGGAAAACGATGCTCTTCTGCTCCGTCCAGAGCACATTGAGCTCTTTGACAAAATATGCAAGCGTGAAAACTGCCCGTACGCGCTGCTAGGCCAGGTGACCGGAGATGGCCACGTGGTCTTGCACGACTCCAAGGATAACTCTACCCCGTTTGACTTGGACCTTGATTTGGTGCTCGGCAAGATGCCGCAGAAGACTTTTACAGACACGAAGGAAATTGCGCCCGTAGCGGAGCTGTCACTTCCTGTAGACATTACCCTGCGCGATGCACTAGACCGTGTGCTGCGTCTTCTGTCTGTCGGCTCGAAACGTTTCCTGACAAGCAAAGTGGATCGCTCGGTGAGCGGTCTTATTGCACAGCAGCAGACTGTGGGTCCGCTCCAGCTGACTCTCGCTGATTGTGCCGTTGTGGCACAGTCACACATGCCGAACAAGGACGGCAAGTTTACAGGCGTGGTGAGCGCTTGTGGTGAGCAGCCTATCAAGGGTCTAGTCAGCCCTGGTGCAATGGCTCGTTTGAGCGTGGGTGAGTCGTTGACCAATATGGTGTGGGCGGCTCTTGGTGGACGTGGTCTAGATGACTGCAAGTGCTCTGCCAACTGGATGTGGGCGGCCAAGCTGCCTAACGAGGCTGCCCGCATGTATGAGTGCTGTGAGGCTATGACCACTTTCATGAAAAAAGTGGGTGTGGCCGTCGACGGTGGCAAGGACTCGCTGTCCATGGCTGCCAAGGTTAACAAAAAAGACGTGAAGACGCCTGGCACGCTGGTGATCACCATGTACGCCCCGACAGACGACGTCGAGCTGAAGGTGACCCCCGACCTCAAGACTCACGCCGGTGACAGCCTTCTGTACTATGTGGACGTGGGCAAGGGCCAAAACCGTCTGGGTGGTTCGGCTTTGGCGCAGGTTTATGGCCAGGTCGGCAACGTATCTCCTGATGTCGAGGACGCCGAGTTGTTTAGAAACGCGTTCAATGGCATTCAGACTAGCATTAAGAATGGTCACCTGCTCGCTGGTCACGACCGTAGCGACGGGGGTCTCATTGTTACGCTGTTGGAGATGGCGTTTGCTGGCAACTGCGGCCTCAACGTTGACATTCCTTTCGCGGGTGATAAGGTTACGACGAAGGATGTGATTCAGGTGCTGTTCGCTGAGGAGCTTGGCTTTGTGTTCCAGGTTGCTGCTGGCCAGCATGCCAATGAGGTGGAGTCTATCTTCAGCAAGCTAAACGTGCCGCTTGTGAACCTGGGTAAGGTGACCACCGATGGTGTCATTAGGGTGAGCATTAATGGCGAAGGTGTCGTCGAGGACCAGATGGTGGACCTTCGCGACGTGTGGGAGGCGACGAGCTTCGAGCTTGAGAAGCGTCAGTGCAACCCCGAGTGCGTGGCGCAGGAGCAGCTTTCGTTGCGCACCCGCACGACTCCCTCGTGGAAGGTGACGTATGAGCCTAAGCCGACGCCTGAGCGCCAGCTGAGTACGCGCGCCCAACACCGAGTGGCTGTTCTTCGTGAAGAGGGTAGCAACGGTGAGCGTGAGATGCTCGCTGCATTCCACCACGCCGGCTTTGAGGTGTGGGACATTACAATGTCTGACCTGGTAAACAAGCGTGTGGTGCTTGACGAGCGCTTCCGCGGTGTGGCGTTCGTGGGTGGCTTTACATTCGCTGACGTGCTGGGTTCGGCTAAGGGCTGGTCCGGTGTGGTGAAGTTTCACAGTGACGTGCTAAAGCAATTTGCGGCTTTCAAAGCGCGCGAGGACACGTTCAGTTTCGGTGCTTGCAATGGTTGCCAGTTTATGACGTTGCTTGGATGGTTGGATCACCCGGAAGCCAAAGCTCTCGAGGAGGAGACAAAGACATCAGCTCAGCCACGATTCGTGCACAATGAATCTGGACGCCACGAGTCTCGCTTCGTGTCGGTTCAGATCCAAGAATCGAACTCGGTGATGCTGCATGGAATGGCTGGTTCTTCCATTGGCGTGTGGGTTTCGCACGGTGAAGGCCGTGCACACTTTACGCACCCGAAGATTCAGGAAAAATATATCTCGAGTGGCGCTGCTGCTATCCGTTACGTGGACGACTCGAATGTGCCGACAGAAGAGTACCCGTTCAATCCAAATGGGTCACCGGAAGGTATTGCTGGTCTCGTCTCAAGCGATGGTCGTCACTTGTGTCTCATGCCGCATCCAGAACGTTGTTTTCTCAAGTATCAATGGCCATACATGTCATCGGAATTCCAGACACTTTGTGTGAGCCCATGGATGCAACTTTTTCAGAATGCAAAAACTTTCTGCGAGGGTCAATAAGCACGAATAGATGAATGATGCTGCTATGAAGTTGTTTTGAGAAGAGTTATTTGCTTGGAGAAGAACTGCATGAGATATATATATATATAGTTGTACAAACATATTTGATTAAAGAACGTCTTCTTTTTTAAGAGACCTTTATCTTACAGATGGTTTTTTTAAAACGACGTATCGAAATAATCAGCAATGATTGGCTGCTTTTTGTATTTGTTACTTGGTAGATAAATTACTTCGTTGTATCAGATCTGAGTACGTCGCATCTCGTTTTGTTTACCAATACAAAACGTATATGTAAAAGGACATTCATCGTTTTAAAAAAATGGAGGAATTTTTTCAATACATTGGTCCTAATGACGACGTCGTCTTGTCTTCTACTTTATTAAACCATGAACGAATGTTTGTTTACTCATCTCCACGTGAAAATCCAATCGATCGATGTGGAGAATTACGTGTGGGGTCATATTTTGCATGCTCTTCGGTGCTTTTTTATGACGATAATATCTGGATAAAAATCCGTCGCGGTTATTTTTCCAATATCAATCAGAATGGCTACATTCGTGTATACTTGAAGTTCCCAACTGGCTCGCAACCAATGGATGGCTGTGATTTACCGTCTCGTCAGCGCTCTTCAGTAGTCACAGCACAACCGGCACAATTCCGACATATCCGGAGACTCCCACGTAGGAGTGTATACCTGTATACTTGTATACAGCTGCAAGGAATCCATGACATACTGACTTGATTTTATTATACTGTTGTTCTTGAATGTTTGTTGCAGAATTTCCAACGTACATGTGTGCCTATGACCGTTTAGTATTGTATCGAGAACCAGTGTTTACTTTGCACTCAACGTCGGTATCGTCATCATCCCCTTTAACTTCAAGTGCGACATTGCCTCGTCACATGCAACGGTATTTACCACCTGTGAGTGTATTTCGAGCTACCGAATGCCGATTTAATCAGGATTTTACACAATTATCGATCAAGGTGACGTCGGCTTTGGTTGGATTAAGTGGGTGGATCAATACATCGTTCCACAAGATGCTGATTGAAGTGGAAGATCCGGAAAAATTCGGCTTTTTTCATCATGGACCACTTTATATGCAAAATGTTGCAGGACGAGGAGGTAAATGGGCTGGGGAATTACCCGTCCGTGCAATTCCAAGTCTTCAAGCACCACGGCTGTATAATGTTGAGAGTTTTCGAGTCGTGCGTGCAATTGAGCGTAAATTGCTCAAAGATCGGGTGTGGATACGTATTCAGCCGTTGCAAAAGTTAAAACAATTGCAGCTTTTTGGAGGCGAGACGAAAAGTAAAGAAGAACATCACATTGAGGTAGAAGGGGAGAATGACCAAGAAGAAAAACAGACTGCAGGTCCGGATGCGTGGATTATTGAACGCAATGCAAACACTGCCCAGAGAGTGGTGGTACCATGGGGAAATGACCGTATTTGGGATGTGCCAGTGGACGACGATGCGGAACGGTTCTACCGTACGGTATATAGCCGTCGACCACTGCCTTTGCGCCGCACTGCGGACCTGGAAGCAGAGATTGTTGGTCATCTTGAACCAGGATTTGTATTCTCCTCTACTCACCGCATTCTCAACGACAGGGGACGCATGTGGATTCGAGTGGCACTACCTTCAGAAGCTCATCTTAGTAAAAGTGTTGCTGACGACGTTGGCGAGTCTGACAACGCGAATAGCAATTTTGAAAGCAACGTAGAAGAGTCGAAGGAGGAGGAAGAAGAGTTTGAAGACCTTGGCGAATCTGTGCGGTACGGCTATGTGATTCAATCGAACGCCAAGACCAATACTTGTATGGTCCAGGAAATTCCTTCGCCCGGAAAAATGAATCCAAAACAATACTATCAGGTCTCACTTTTATCGGATGACACGCAAGCGCAGACGACAAGCAGCAGCAACGCGGAAAAAGTAACAGGAAGTGCAACAGAAAATACGTTGCCGGCTTGTGCTGAGGCTTCGAGCTCCGCGAAAGAGCTGTTTTACGTCAGAAATGGTGCAATTGTATCTGCCATTGGCTCTGTATACAATGCCAACGAAGGACGAATGTGGCTGCAAGTTCTAGCAATGGAGTTGGATCCGGCCATGCAAGTGAAGACCCAGTGGCCGCTTTCCGAAGCTGAACAGAAGCTGAATGTGGTTTATTTACCAATTTGTGATCCGAATAGGAATTCACCCGAGAGTGTTCTTAAGCCCATTCACCGTGAGTTGGTAAGGATTGATAATCCTCTTCAAGCTGAAACGAATGGACAGCGAGCTCCGTCGCGGGTCGTGTTTACTGGTCGGGCATCAAAGCTTTTTGGCTCCCATTTGTTGCGTCCGTCTACTATCGGATTGTCGTCGGCATTTCCGACGAAACAGCATGGACCTGAATTGCAGAGCAGTGGTATTACGGTCTCTGACCCAGTTGTGGGCGAGAACGACCGTACACAAAGTCTAAAGGACGAGATTACTGCGTGGCAGCTTCAGACAGGCAAAAGTCGTATGACCCAATTGTCTACACAGCTTGGTTCTTTGGTCGGCTACACTTTGAGTTGTATACGTCGGCCATTTGCTTCGTGCTTGGCGCATCAGGAGGCAAAACGACGATATCAGCAATTGGATCAGAATGGACAAGACATGGAAGAATATGCACTTGATGACAACGAGGTGAATGTGGAAGGTACGTAGTCATATTTGTATACAAGAGGATTAATGACGTGAAAGACTAGCTATATCATGCTAGTAAAGTCCTATCTTTTGTTTTATTTGACGTCATATAATATATGAAGCCGTATGGTCGAGGACTCGGCATCGCCTCATAGTATTAATGTAGCACTCAACTCCGAGTTCGATAGTACTAGAATAGTAATGTTGTACATTACTATTTTTTTATCATGCTAATACACGTAAAGTATAATGTCTGCCAGAAAACTACGCCAAAGGTTGGGGACAAAATTTAGTGCTGCCCCTGTCAAATCTTATAAAATAGGCGAAACTTATCTTTCTTTATACTTTTGTCCAATCGCATTTCTTTACGAGCGCGTGTCTCTGCACAATCGGAAGCGTGCACGCGCTCGACTTTTAACCAATCCGTAGACAGTACGCCACGCGCTTTGGTGCTCCGTTTCTATCACCAATCCTTCCTCGACGATGGCAATGCATTGTCATCACAATTGGATTTACGTCATTGTGTGCACAGACGTCAAGTATTCACGGAGCATTATGAGCAGAAAGTCAGATATCTCATTCTTGCTAAATCCACAAATTGGTGCAACGGACCAACTCCAAGTACGGGTGACACCACCGCAATCTCGAATTCCATCGGTCGTGACGGCCTTAGCACAAAATTCAGACGTCACATCCACTTCTTCAATGCTGCTGAACTCGTGCATTACGCCGCTTGACAAGAAACGTAGTTATAGAAGCGAGAAACCGCTTCTACCGGTGCTACCCGCACTGAAAACTGGTGCTAGGTTGAGCTCTAGTGACTTGGAAGAGGAAGAGTTAACTAGTACATCAATTCGTAAAGAGAAACAAATAGAAGATGTAGCTCAGACACAGGCAATTTCTGCTACTTTAAAGCCCAAGGATCAGGTCATGAAGACTAGGACGGTCTGCAAGCGGAAGCGGACGACTCGCATGCCGCCATGTCAAGTAAAAGGCTGTCCAAACATCGCCGTATCTCGGGGCTCCTGTGTGCGCCACGGTGGCGGTTCACGATGCACAATAACGGGGTGTCCGAACCGTGCTAAGCTTTACAAAAAGTGCTTCCAGCATGGCGGCTTTAGGACATGTGCGACCGACGGTTGCACACGAAAGGCAAAGTGGTACGGACATTGCTGGTCTCATGGTGGTGGACGTATCTGCGAGGTTCCTGAATGCGAGAAAGTGTCGACACAGGGAGGTCTGTGTTGGGCACATGGTGGTGGCAACCGGTGCAAGCTGGACGACTGCAGCCGTCGCTCGTATCAGAAGTACGGTTATTACTGTGTGGATCATACGAGTTACGGAGAAAAGACAAAACGTTGTCGGAAGGCTAGTGATAGATTTGGCTCCAGTTGGGTTGCGTCGGGTACAAATTTGCATTAGACATATGTGGCAACTACATTGAAAAATGTACAGAAGGGAATGACGGAACCAAGTGAGCAGTATTTATTCGGCGTTATGAAGAATACAACGTTTGTTTGCCTTAGTGTTGCGTTCAGAGCAATTAGTATACATGTAGCCTTGCTATTTCCTGGCGATTAATCGCGGCTACATATGGGTTAGTGCATGGTGTAACAAGCTTTTAGCGTCAGCTATATCTGTATGTCGAGCTGCTACCATGTCATGCTACTACATCAGAATAGTAGCATAATCAAAGATAGTAACATTTCGGCCACTTTGGTATCGTAGAGCAGGAAACATCATGCTATGCAATACCTTAACGCTCCCACAGACCGATAGTGTTTGCCAGTGAGACACCAGGTAATTTGAGCAGCAGTTTCACAATTACCAGAGAAATGGCAGTCAGGTGGTGTTTCGCCATCAGGGCACATTTACACATATGAATCGTTTAAAATACACACGCAATCTTCCAAGTCCTTGCTCCAGTGCAGCGTATCCAACGGATACTGTCACGTTACCATTCTTCACTTCCTGTCAATTAGCGTTCAATGTCTCTTCGGTTCGAGCCGCTCGAAAAGACTTGCAATGAGCTTGGCTTGTTCTTCACGGTCTTTCTTGCGTTCTTCTTTTTCAAAGTCGAGTTCCAATTGTCTCCGTCTTGTACGTTGCATCTCGATTTGAAGTTCAAGACCGCGTTGTTTGGTTTTCTCCTCTTCCTCTCGTACTCTTGCTTCATTTATTTTTTCTAGCTCAATGACATTAGCTTGATACGGTCGAGTTGCAAAAGCCTGTTGCATCTTGAATAACTCGGCCATTGCTTGTTGCACTGTCACAACGTCTCCATCAATTGGACTTTGTGGTACTGAAGACTCATCCATTGGTTCAGTTACATCTGCAGTGACTTGTGCATCTGGGAATGATGCATCAGATGAAATCGGCATCTGATCAGCAGTATCAATAGTACGTGGTAGCATCGAGATGTCTCGTCTGACAGGAGGTTCTGATTCCGTTTCTAAGCTGTCACTTCGTTGACGTTTTTTGCCGTTTGCTCGAATATTCATAGTCGTAGTTTTGGTTTTTTCTTCGTTTTCGTTAAAATCATCTTTTTCATTGAAATTTGCCTTCCCCTTTGGACGAATATCAATAGTTTTTACCAAGTCGGTCATAATTTTTTGAAAAGGAGTCTTTATTTCTTTCGAATGTTCGAAATTTTCACTTTTTATCCAGTTGCGATGACGATGTAATAGTGTATCGAACCGTGTCTTTGCTGTCGTGCCTTTGATTGGTCGCATATGAAAATCCGGATGTTTATTCAGACGTTCCGCCACATTATCCCAAGTGTCGCCTATAGCGCCATGTCGAGCATTATATGGGGTATCCCTTTTCACCTGAAGAATCAATAGATAATCCTCATTCTGTCCAAAACGTTGTCGTATCCTTTTCTCACTGACGCTGCCTTCGCCATTAGGATCTTTTTGCCGTCCACGTGGTGGCATTGTAAAGGATTTTTTTAGATTTTTGTTTAGGTAAAATAAATCTTTAGGGATAAAATATAGTGTCATAATTGTGTGGTACATAAAAAAAATGAAGAGCGCAGTATTGGTAACGGGAGCTTCGAGGGGTTTTGGTCGCTGTCTTACGTTGGACTTTGTGCGTCTATTAAAGCGACAACATATTGATCTGGTACGTAAAGAGAGACTAGGAAGGGTTCTTTTCCATTATCTAATTTAAACTATACAGTATCTATGGGCACGGAGTGAGCATGAGCTACACGAAACAAAACGATTGGCACACATTGAATGGAAGAAAATCGAGGCATTAGGTGACTTGAAGTGCTTTATCCAGTCAGTAGACTTGAGTAATTCCAGTAGTTATACTGTTAAAGTCGATCAAGTGTTGCTGGAACTAGCAGCACAGAGTTATGACCGAGTATTCCTGGTACATAATGCCGGATCTTTGGGCCAACTTGGACTTGTACAGGAATGTGCCTCTTCTCCAATGGAGTTGTCTCAGTACTGGGAACTCAATGTAACGTCGGTGATATGGCTCAACAAACGCTTTTTAGATGTCTTTGGAGCTTCGAGAGAAGAATTAGTGGCGTTAAATGGATCTACTAGCAGGAAACAGACACAATTGGTGATTATTAACATCACGTCATTGTGTGGTATTGAGCCGTTCAAGACGCATATGATGTACTGTGCTGGTAAAGCAGCGCGTGAGATGCACCATCGAGTAATTGCTACCGAGCAAGCGGCAGTTGGCAAAGTGCGTGTACTGCAATACTCGCCTGGACCGATGGATACGGACATGCAAAAGATGATTCGAGAGTCGTCACTTGTTGACCCTGAACTTCGAAAACAGTTTGCAGACATGAAGGCAAAAGGAACACTCGTTTTGCCAGCTCAATCGTCAGAACGCGGCGTGACACTTGCTATCAGCGAAGACTTTGAAACGGGAGCTCATGTCGATTACTACGACCTGATCACTTCTAGTAAGGGGACCAAGTGATTTATGAAAGTGATCAGACTGATTGAAGTCACACAAACTATTGCCATCGACTTATGTCTATATCCATGTTGAAAGAGGAATATGCTCGGAGTGTTGTGTCTATCTTTCACTTCGTCAATGTTTGAAAAGTAGATCATCGTATACGTATTGCTGGCGATTAACGCTGTAGTTGTGCTGCTCCTCGAACCAATGGCTGCTCCAGAACACAGCTGCAGCGGCACGCTATAGTACCATTTTCTTGGACTCCCAGCAGCGCTTCTTGTTCTTCTCAACTAGGTCTTCCAGCACCGGGTTCTTGTCCACCTTTGTCAACAACGCTGGGATAAATCAGAGGAAGACAACGTCTTCCTCTTCCTCTAGCTGGATCAAAGTATTCACCTTCATCTCACGTCCGTCTCCATCTAACGATCGGATAAAAGATAAAGGATGATCTTCTTCTCCTGTTATTGAGGCCATTCCACCCTCTTGTCAGTTTTGTTCCGCTGCCGCCGCTCGCTTACTTCCATGGCAAATGCTCTGCGGTCACTTCCATTCAATCACATAAGGGCATTGACTATTATTGTGCTGGATAGCTTGGGCATAAGGAAGGATACGATCTCGTATTTCTTTGGGACAGGAAACTCTCGCTCTCCTCATGTTGAGTGTTAGTCGCTTCATGTCATTACGCTAATGAGTTGCCATATGAAGAAGGGCGGAAAGACTCCTCTTATCGAAGCGTTAACGCAAGAATTTCTAGAGCTGCACTATCGATTAGAGGTGTGCTTTTACTACAACAAAAGCAATGTGTTCGGTGTCGCGGGAACGAAAAACCAAGTGGCGTCGGAAGTGCCGATCCAGGAATTGCACGAGAAACCGATATGGAGGTACGACGCTACACCCTACATGTTTGACTACGCTGCTGTGCGACTAAGGTCGACATTTGGAGCGTGAGCTTGCTCGTAAAGACGCCAAACATCCCAGACCTTTCGGCCAAGCTGGCAACAATTTAAGCAAATGTTACAGATGGATTCGACGAAGAGATCCACGACAGTATCGCTTTGAAGGCAATACGAAAGGCTGCTGCTGACGATTTCAAACAGTACATTTGCTTCCAGCGCAATGTCAAGAAGTGAATAACATGAGCGGCTGGGCTGTAGATAGATGACTACTCCGTTTTTCTCGCAAGTACACCACGTTGGTGAATTCAGAAGATCGCGTCTGTTGTACATGCAACAATGGACAAAAAGAGCTATAGGCAGCTGATCCACATGCAGCAGCCAAGTGGTAGGATCGCTCTAGCTGCTTGGCAGGGCTCCTCGTCTAGTGCTGCTACAATACAGTCAATCAGACCCGCAAGCTTTACTGATATCGGCATGCATCACGTTGCTTCCTATCAACGACAAGATCAACTCTAAAAGACCAATGTTACCCAAACACTGACTCACATTCAGCGTGGATCTCAGTGTTAAAAGAGTTTCCTGCGCGTGGTATCATCGCGATAAAGTACAGCAAAATGAGCTACTTGTTTGTATGTCGACGTAACACAGATACAAAGGGGTTTAACACTACACTCTTCTCTCTTATTACACTTAGGAAAAGCAGCCTATTGATTCTTTATCTCTGTCGTTGTTATTTAACGTTCCGACTTGTGGCTGTACGGGTTTGGAAATGGGCACTTGAGTTTGGGGTCGTCGTAATTCTGCTTGACTTTCAAATCCTCTGGCTTGTTACTACAGACACCGTACGTATAGTTCTGACGCATGCAGACACCCTTATCGGCACATGGGTACACGGTCGGATCCACGCAGTTGTTATAAGCGCATCGATGGCCATTGGGTGTCACGTAGAGCTTGTCATGGGACACGCGTAGTTTAATATGAACCTCCTGCTCTGCAATTACGAGAACCATAGCAGCAATGGCGACGATGGCGGCGGTAATGGTTGAGAAGAGCTGCATCTGATTAGTTGCTGGATGAGGGGATTTGAAATGGATCGAGAGCCAATTGAGAAATGAGTTGGCGATCTTCTTTTTGACTTGGAAAAAAAATCTGATTTATTTCAATGAAAACCCTTAGAAGGACAGTACGAACGTGTTTCAAAGGTTTCTAATGTCTTACATAGAGGCCGTTTTGACTGAAGATTACAATACCCAGCATTTGGTTTTGTAAAGCCTCTTTAGCACGAAGTTCAATGAGTGGCCTCACACAAGTCCTCGTTAAATGATGTAAAATGTGTAGTTAGTTAGGTCGTCATGTCGAGGCAGATACTCGCATTGTCATCGACTGCATTGTTATCGAGACGAATCGTAAGGATGCCAATGGTCTTCAAATCGAAGCAATAGAGGATTAGAGGATCTAGTATCGTTCCGATTTGTACTAGCACCGTTGACCATAACAAAAAGTTCGAGCAAAGCCTGCTTTGAAACTGTTTTGCCAATGTATGCTTCCACATTCTTCTCTTAGCATTGAGTTTGGCCTTCCAGGTCAATCATCAACGGCCAGTAATTGCTACGCTGTATTCACGATGGTGTTGTCGACCATTCGAAATCATTTGGCACGGTCCACGCCCGAAATCTAAACAGTTTCTTCCACGTAACGTCTTCGTGATTGTAAAAGCTTTGGAGTACGTGATCGATTGCTTTGTAAAGTGCATACACTACTAGTCGATTGCAAGCCACGAGAAATGCTAACAAAGGCACCAATGTAAGTGACCACACCCGATGCTTCTGTACTGTCAGCGTCGCAGCCTCTCGTTCTCATAACATCTCGTTCGGGCGTAAACCACCTTATCTAAGCGTTCTTTAGCTACCTTTGCGTGCAACTATACTAAAGAGAGCTGAGGAGCTACCGCAGACACCTTGTCAGTTTTTGCGTCTCGGAATTCGAGTTTGCAGCGAATGGACGTCTTTGTCCATTGCTTCCACTAAATTGTTGTCCTTATCAGACTGCAACAGATTTTACAAGAAGCATGTATCGCCTACAACAACTGCTAATTCTATGAAGAGCTCATTTAATGAGGTCATCAGGAGCTTGACCTCATCAAATGAGCTCTTCATAGAATTGGTCTCCATGCTGCAAATATTTGTAATATGTCATCACAACTAAATAGTGACATTCATATTTACTAGTACTACTTCTTGTAATGTAGTACATTGTACACTACTATAAGTATACTACTATTCTATTTAAGTATCGCCTCAAAAAAATAGGGTACCATGTTTACGGAAAAATGGAGTCAGCTGAATCTGTATCGTTTCAGACCAAAAAGCGAGAGACCAAAACCGACCAAAAAGCCATGGTCTGGTCACAATTTACTTTATCATCATGGAGCAGCGACTGTCGTCCACATGTGCGAGTTTTCTAACGAACGATGGAAGCGACGATCTAGTAGTGCGCTACGAATGGGACGGTGGTGCTATTGGTCTTGAGCTTATGCGTACACCGCCATCGACTACGAAACACGTCATCTACTGGGGCGTCGACTCGCTTGGCGTTACGTTGGGCGTGGAGGAAACTTCTCGACGCGTAATTGTGACGCGTTCTAGTCGTTCAGACGTGAAAGAGGGTGATGTACTGCTTCAGGCGGGTGGAAAACCTATAATTGGGCAAGATTTCAGCCAACACATGGCGTTGCTTAAGCAGGAGCACGAGTTGGGTGAAGTAGCCATTCCATTTGTCTTTGTCCCTCCTCCACCTCGTGTGTTTGTTAAGAGGTGCGAGGGTGCATTGAAAGAAGCCGGTGTAGGTCCAAGTTTTGAGCTAAAATACGTGGACGGTCGTGTCGTGAGATATTTGGAGATGAAAGAGCTGCAGATACTCATCCGCAACTCGAACAAACCGTGTACGATGGCATTTGTGCAGACCAAAGAGAAACAATTCTATGGCGTGCTGCAAAAACAGGAGCAACAACGACGTAAATTGCAACATGCCAATCAAGCTGCGATTGCAAGTGCGGGACTGGCTTTGGCTGCGGCTATCGTTGTCAACATTACATAAGTGCCTAGAGATGTATATACAGGTAGCGGGAAGTGGACTACATGCTCCAGTAGTACACCTACTTATTGGGAGTTGGATGAGGCAGAAACAATAATAAACAGCACCTCAGAAGCTTAGAAAATCGCTACACCTTGTTGATCTTTCCAGCGCCAGTCAAGACAAGCCTGGTTGAAGCATATATGTCGAAGACCTGCTCTTATCGACAGGCTTGAAAGTATCTTGCAACACAATGTAAAGCTGTTGTTTGTTCCTGTCACTACGTCTAATTCGCTTCAACGGTTGATGAACAAAATCTAATGCATTCATGGGGGCTGAGCTGATATCTAAACGTTGAGTGCTTTTTGAGATTCTCACCACTCATGCTAAAGAAGCTAGATGCTCTGCACGCTTTCCCCGTGGAATGGGTGGCAGGAAAGTATTGTGAAGGCCGTCGAGAAAAAGTAAGGCGGTCTTTTGACCGGTGACTTGTCATGCAAATGAATGAAAGAGTCGCTAACGTCCTGAATGGCCACGCATAATTTGGCTTGTGGTGCTTTTCTGGAGCCGGCATCTGATCATCTTTACAAAATGTGGCCGTGCACGATCTCTTTCGCGTGGTAAATATCTTTAGTTGCGTGTGGTACCTGCGCTGGAGCGGACACCATGAGACGGCTGAAAAAACCTACGTAGGGGCAGCTAATATGGCATGTCGCTAAGATCGAGGAGGCTTAGCTGCGTAGTCATGAGGGCGATGGCGTGAGGCTGCGCGTATATGACCGCTATTCGGAGGTTAAGATCTCTATGCATCATTCTGTGGGAGTATTCATTCTTTGATTACACACAAGCTTCGTACAAGGACAATCTTAAACTGTGTGGAAACAGATTTACCGTTTATGGTTTACAAGATTTCTGAAAAGTCCTCAGCCATTCCAGTACCCCCGGAGTTGTCTCCTGGCGGTTACGTGGGCTATGCAGTACCGGCTGCCGGATGTTGATGGTGTCTTGGAACATTTCCGTTGCTAGGCGAAGGTAGACGCCTTTGCTCACATCTTTATCCCTTCGTTGTTCCCTGATAGCGACCGCTCGGAGTTGGCGAAGAAGGACTTGTTTGACTTCCGCTACCTCTTGCTCCGTGGACGCACTTTCCTGCTTATGAATATTTCTGTTTCGCTGAATCCAGAGCATGGTCACGCATACGGAGCACGCTATCCACCATATTCTTTTCCAGGCCCGTCCAACGATGTCAGTTTTGTCTGGGAACATATGCTCAATATCTGCCCGCACTCTCGGAGGTAGCTCCGGTGCTGCGCGCGATAACGCTGCTTGTTTGTCCAACTCCATTTGGGCGGATGATACCTCCGATCGCGTCCACTGCGTGATGATGTATGCCCAAGACTTGGATGCTCCCAGAGGATATGCAGGAGTCCTTCGTGTTGCCCGATGCAGGCCAGATGCCTCTTGCACGTCGAGTCTATGTCGCGTCCCGAAAAGTACAGATTCAACTGAAGAGTAGCTACTCTGTAGCATACCCAGACCTGGTATTCCGTGAGAGTGTGTCCGTGATCCCATAGTTGTGCCGGTGACTGCGACATCGGGAAGTGGTTACCGTCCTGTGAGCCGTCTCGTTGATGTAGCCTGGTAATTACCGCCGTAAGTGCTGGATGAAGCTTTCGTTTGGCGCGATGGAATGGTTGGCGTTGAAGCGCCTTGAATGCGTGCATGTTGTTGATGGAAGGTGGGAGACTCCATGGAAACCCATGTAGCAGCGCATGCGCTGTGAATACAAGCGCCGTGTTGCGTGTTTTCTGTTGTAGATCCACCAGCTCCTGTTGATCAGCTTCTGGCACAGTCATGTGATCGATAATCCAATGGAGTCCGTCGTTGGCTTCATGGAGGACAATAAGGGCGAGGTTGCTGCCGGCGTGTGCTTTCTGGCGCCCGTGTGTGACCCCTTGGTCTAGCAATGTCCAGGTGTGCGTGTTCAATACCTCCGGCCCGTTCCGCAGCGTAAGCTGAGCCGGTATTTGCATTTCTTCTGCTTCGTGCAGATAGGGACTTGCCATAAGTATGGCTGTTGCCCATAGCCCTAGTTTAGGCAGCGTGTGGTAAGTATTGAGTTTCGTTGTTGGGACCCGAATACGGTAATCCAGCGTTGACACTCGCCGAATGTGTAGCTCAGCTAGCGTGCAGGCGGGTAGTAGTGGATATTTCTTTGTTGATAGCATAATCCCCTTGTCATCTATTATCCAAGGATTCTGATCCCACCTGTAAGTCGCCCAAAAGTCCTTGCGCTCCTGGGTGTACATGTGTATAATAGTCGAGATATCTTCATAATATTGGAAAAGTAAATCCTGATCTGACCTGGTGGCCACGAGGTGTGTCACTAGGCGCTTCAAAATTCCATCACGATGCTGTTTGATCATCGTCCATTCTTCTGACGTCGGTGCGATCCACGCGCTTAATTCCGCTCTGATTTCCGGTTCTGGAGCCATTAGCGTGCTGTTTCTACCGGCTTTGGGTGATGCCGGTGAGATTCTCCACATAGCTGAGTCCTCCATATCTTGAAATGACCACGCTGCCCAAGCATAGAAGTAGCGATCGCGTTTCTGAATCAGCCACTTCATCGCATGCTTAAGATTTTGAGTGCATATGGCGACGTCTATGGAGACGAGCCCTATCCCCCCCGCCCCGCGTGGTGTGTATAGCAGGCCTGGATTGACCTTGTGTCTGCTGTTGCATGTAGACGTGGTGAGATGCCACATAAATTGCTTCTGTATGATGTGCAGTTCTGCTCGAGCCCATTGCGGGAGCCGGAAGACAGCAGCTGTAAATAAGACTGCTGGTAGCATGACAGCATTCAGTAGCAGTATCCTCACGGCGACGCTGGTTGAGAGGCTTGCCGCGGTGGCTAGACGCTTTCTGACGTTTCGAATCCGTAAGGCCCAATTTGCGTCAACCAGGTCTCCAGTCCCCACCTGGTACCCTAAATACCTAGTCGTTTGACCATGACGGAGTACTGGAATTTCTTCATAATCGGAGATTGCGACCGCTGTATTGAGGAAAATCAGTAGACTCTTTGCTGGTTGAGGACAATCTTAAACTGATAAAAAATCACATGTACATGGAGAGAATGCGCAACGCTCCGGCAAACGCCGAGGAAAGTGCGGGATCATAGTAATACTCTCACACCCTATCAATTCTGGACATGGCGACAGGACAACTAAATCTGTATCGCGCTGCGAGGAACAGACACAATAGTTGCAGAAAGACACCGGCCTGCAGCGGCAGTAAGAAGACCTTTGTCCATCTTGTTTTGTGCTTGCGCCGCAGCGCAGTCTGGGATAAACTTGATGGTCACTGGACTAGGCAGACAGTCACCGTCAATTGACCCAAAACTTCCTGGGGGTTTATGCCAGTCGATGAGTTCACAGCATACCCGAGTACCGAGCGAAAAATCCTATCGGACCGATGACGCGGGTGAAACCGAACGCGTCTGGACGCAAACCTGGCACGTCCTCGTCCTCGGGCGATGTTGCAACCACGTATTTGAGTAGACAGGAATGCAAATGTCTACAAGGCTACCTTCCCAGCAGCATCACCAGTTTTTGGGCTACATGCCTTTGTCAGCTTCGAGCAATCGCGACGAGAGAGCATCGAAACATCGAGAGATTGCGTCCGTCACACATGGTGCCGTGCTTTATGAATGCGTCGAGTTGCTAGAGCGCGGCCCTCCACGACCACCAAGTTTATCGGTCGATATAATGTTGGGCCAAACGGCGCTATTATCCTAGCTCAGGACTTTCCACATAATTAACACCATGTAAATAGACGATCGGAACCTCTCTCTCACATTCACATGGAGAGTATAATCGACCCACCAAGATGTGCATTAACATTTTGAAGCAAAAAGTGGTAGAATAACAGTACCTCTGTATTATATTTGATAAATAATTCGTACGTACAAACGCACATCGAAAGCCACAATACACGACGTGCTGAAGACTCATCGAGGCTTTGCAGCATCAACTGCATACATAGGACATAAGAGATCATGGCCGGATTGTGTTTGAAGTTGCAGGTCGTAAGGATCTAATTTTAAGATCGAAGCTTCCGGCTTGAAAAAATATCGGATGATGCAGTCGCTGAACTGATGGATGTCGCCTATTGTTCGAGAATCAAACGATAAACTGATCAATAAACGCCTCGGTTCGACCATTTCACTATAGCTACATCGCGCGCGTCCAGCGTAGCACGCTTTTCAAGATCAAGCTCGACAGGACGGGGGGTGACGCCACCAGAAACGCGAGCTTGCTCGCGGTAGCTGAAATATATGAGGCTTTTCTGCAATGGTTAGAGCATTGGGGCAAAGGCCATTCCCATTCGGCAAGGTCCTGTAATAAAAAGACTTCCACTTTGGTATACGTGCCCATCCATCCCATGCGCTCTTCCAGTCTAGCTCTAATAACTCAGTTGTAGAGACGAAGGTAGCGTCACCTCGAAAACAGCCAGTCTGACCTCTAGCACAACGAGTTGACGTTGGGATGGCTTAATTGTTCACTTTAGGAGCACGTCTCCGCTAAAAGCCGCCTTGTACTAGTTTTAAACTCTGCACACCTCACTGAACAAAGTGGTTGTCGCAACGAGGCATCGTGCAAGGAGATGTTGCAACAAATGCTCGACTCAGCCTTCAGCCAACAAATTAGGCGAGGCTCCGCCATTACATCGTAGCTTGTCCTCGCACAGGTCGACACTGTGGCCAGTGCAGTGACCAAGTCTTCAAATATGTCACTTGATTATGATGCTTAGAGACAAGTAGCTGTGTAATGTGTGCTAGCTGCGACTATCCACATCGAGCAGCTACAGGCATTGTCGTACCTTATCGACGGCATGGTTCGGCTGCTTCGTCTTCAAATGGAAAATACTTCTGTCTGTCTATGTTCTGAGGTGTTTTCTTCGATATGATAATCCGGCAGTATGTAGACTCTAATCCTTAGACTTGCCCAGGACTCTAGCGTGCGTCACATCCAACTCGGTAGTCTCAGCCATCGCCCGTTGAATCCTCGCTGAGTTGAGGTGCACACCATTACTGCCCAGTGTCCCGTTTTTCTAGCTCACGATCAGGTATGCGCGTTCGTGGCGACTTGGTCTCTGCTCTCTACTGTGGACAATTCATAACCGCCTAACGTGCTAATAATTACTACACCGCTCTTACTCCCTGCTTTCAAAGTGCATGGTAGCGCAACCCTCATGGAAACCACTAGATCTCATTTGCGTCAAGCTGCCGTATCCGCAATCTATCAAATTTGCTGACTATATCCGCACAGTGCTGATGGCCACTTTGCCTGGCACCAGATTCAATTTTGACCAGAGTAAACAAATTAATGGGACGTGACCAAAGTTCATTGTGGTCGTGTCTCGATGTGTTTGCAGAGATGTAGGCAGCCGCACGTTCACCTAACAATGCGGAGACGGTTCACAAAAAGAAAGTGATGCGGTGGAGCAAAATCGGATGTTCTTCATGTAAGCAATCCATTTAATAATGACCGCTGCAAAGGAGGGCCTGCGCTATGTAATCAGCCACCTCACTCGGTTCTACAATTATCTTGTAAGGACATGTGTATGCTTGGTCTCAGTGCTCCTCGAGCATGCGAATCTTTGATGTCCGCAAAAATGCAGACTCAGTCGTAAGGATAGTGCTTACGAGTGAGTCTGTATGGCGAACGCTGTCCAACGTTACCACCGCCAGAGCTGCACACAACGTACGTGCTTCTGCTTTTCCGGTAGCCAGAGTAAGACCGCTGAGTCGGTTGGGTGCGCACCCTTAAACAACAAGTCCAGCTTGGCGCTGAAATTAAGCGTTAGTAGCGCCGCAAGGATGACCCGACGATGGTATTGTCGGTCTACTCTCAGAAGGACGCCTGAGTTCGGCGACCAGTGAACAAAAAACAGTAGCATCCACGCAAGTATCCAGAATTTGTTGAGACCTGCATTCATATGTTCGTAATTCGTTGCAGCTAGTTGCAGCTACTAACGACGATTCCGTCGCACTACTGGTAACAAAATGTTGCCAAGAATCTATGTCTAGATTCGTCAAGCTGGTGCTGCAGCTGCTTCTAATTGCAAGTTTTGAAAAAGCAATTGAGGGGTTCTGGTTCGTCAACGCTGCAAAGTGAAACAGGCACGACTGCGTTGTCGAGCTGTCGCGCAAGGGCTTTTCCATGAGTTTGACTTTGGTGTGCAACTCCGAGTCATGAGACTTTTCCACCGTAGACGAGGCTGGAGACTGTATCTCGGCTGTGTCCTGCCTTCTGCCTTGCAAGCTGTTTTGTTCCAAGTTCATACGTGCCAGCATAGACCGCGCCTCGTATTTGAACAAGATGCATAAATCTTGAACAACAGCTTGGAGTGTGCGTATCGGACACAGTCGACAAGGTTCAAGTTAGCAGGTGTCTACTAGTATATTTCGCCACTCTCAAAGCTGGCACCGTCTTTGGTAAATCAAACAAGCCGTGCCGTCACCCAATTTACCAAGACATCCTAGTCAAGCCTTCGCCATGACACATCCTCAATGAAACCGTCAGCTCTTGCCAAAGGTGTCAGTGCGTTTCTTCTGCACGTCCACGTGGGTGAGAGATAGGCTGCTATAAGTCTGCCGTTCCTCGTATTCAAACAATTGCATAGATTTCTTCAAATAGCCGTCGGTAAGGATCGAGTCAGCAGGCCTTTTTGATACAAGTAAGCCCTTCACGCATTCCTTGGGTGGACCCTTGTAATCTCATTCTATGAAAGGATTGTCTGACTTATACCTTCTATCCCTCTCTCTTGAAAGTCTCTTGACGCAAAGGTGGGAGGAGCTCGGGAAGAGATTAGTACCTTGCCATGACCGAGGAGGGAAACGGTTGTCATTTCAACTCGCGATTTAAACGATCAAGCAGATCCATGTCATTTGCAAATTCATCAAGTCCACCGCAAGCCCTCAGAAGATTCGAAATCCTCAGTGAACGATTATGCCATTGACCCACCCGCCCTCGATCGTTATCCCGCAACTCCAGCACCACACCGTACTACCACCGCTTAGTAATCAACTAAACCACCACTTTCCACTCTCGCACTCGCAACAATACTCACCGCAACACGCCTTCCCTTCGTCGCAGTTGCTGTCGCCTTCAATGTCTTCCGATATCAATCTCACTTTGTCTGGTCCACTGCGACGCGGCAAATGGACACGAGCTGAGGAGAACTACGCGGCAGCCACCATTTCGTACTTTCGTGATGGTCTCTTGGCCATTCAGTACGGCACCACCCTCCGCGGGTACTTGGCTCAACAGCTCCATTGTGACCCCATGCGGATCTCGAAAAAGCTGTTGCCTGGTTCGGTCTTTGCTGGGATCAAGATCAACCCCAAGATCGGCCGACGAGCCTACTATCCGTGCGCTCAGGACTCATCAGCAGCTACACGGTCAAAAGAAAATGCTGCTCGCCACCTTACCAATCTTCGTCGAGCATTTATTCAAAGCATTGAGGAGGAGGAACAGACCCTGGAAGGTGGAAGCAATGGCGAACTCAAAGACAGCCCCATCCACTCTATCAAAACGCACACGCGGAGATACAATAGTTCGAAGCCAATTCCGTCCATCGGACGCAAACGTAGCTATGACGACGTCAATAGTGTCGTGCTTGCACAGCAACATCAAGGACATCCAGCGTCTGTAAAGCTCACGGACCCGCAAATCTTCTATCACTTCCAGCACCCAGCACAACCGACGCTCTACAGCTCGCAATATGCAACGGCCAATGCTGCCGCTTCAGCAACCGTGACAATACCGGCCACGAGCAAACTGCCTAAGCTAACAGTCATGGACGACGTCTCTCGTCATGCGGCTTACTCAACCCAGCAACGCAGTGTGTCGCCCGTGCCTATAGCATCATCAACGGCAGTGCTGCCGCCTCTGCGCGTCTCGCTTGTTCGAGCCTCTATGTGCTAAAGAAGCTGTAGCTGTCTGGAACAGCTCAAGGCCCCGACCGGAGCTGTGTGTACATAGCGTTTTAACGAGGTAGAATAGTTAGCGACCCAAAGTAGTTGTACGATCATATTGCAAGCAAGGACGTCATGAGAAAAAGCCCGCATATATTCAACACGATGTTGCTTGTGTATCAATTGACACCATCATTCGAACAATTAACAATGCTATGAAAAGCTGGGAGGAGACGGACGCCCCTAGTGCAGCAACGACGTAGGCAGCAACGACTTGATTGCGAAGTAGTCAGTACTGGTCTGCTTCATTCCTCTCGTCATCAGATCCATTTCACCTTGTGCTATTACTACTCACCGTCGAAAGCAGGGAATGCAGGGATGGCTACACTACCTTTGCCACATGTATCTTCCGAGTGAATATGCGGTGGACACGCGCGACGCCGTATCGGGACATTGTGTTCATCCTTCTGCCAGCACGTAAAGACCTGGGAGAACATCATGACACCTCCATGAACGTACTGACATTTCAGTGCTGCGTCCCCAAAAGCTTGACGCAATTCCTTCCCATCCACTTGTCCACCAATATGAGTCTGTACAAACTGTGGTGTCGGTGCCAGTGTCTCGTTCCGTTCGAGGTCAATTGCGTGTGTAAAATAATCAACTTGCGACAATCCGGAACACGTGCCATGTCGCATCCACTCGTGCTTCCAGAAATCCGCATATAATGGCGACGCTTCACTAAATTTCACGTCCGGCCAGAATTCATGCAGCGTATCAATCCCGAGCTCACGTTCGATTTTATTGGCATCAAAGGCCTCATCCGAACAGAAACTGGGAGGGACACTACCCGAACGTTCTGGCCATAGACCATGAAGTGTTAAATGGGACTGCCAATAGCTTTGAGGAGCACGACAGCCCGGATACTCTTGCTCTTTATTGAAACAAAAGGTCGGTTGCCAACTTTGTGCCAAGATGTACATGTCAAAGGTGATGGAAGGTACCGGTACGAGAGTTAAGAGCAGTGGGTCATAGACTTTAACAGACGATGATGATGAGATGGTGACAATAAGTGCTGTCAGAGTCACAAGACGGACGAGAAAGTGTCGCGTCATGGGCATGCCAAGAAGATTGCGAAGGTACCCCCTTCTTGAACTTGACTTGAAGTTAGTATAAGAGAAAATGAATCCAGTTCGAAGAGCCGTTTTAATGTAGCTATGTGTGGAAACGATGTGGACTACACAATTGGGGAAGAGAGAAAAATGGGTCTCTTTTTGGCTGAGGTGCCCATAAAAACGGACCTCGACACAAAATATGACCATGATGGCAGTGAAAGGGGCGGCATTGCGACGCTTCTCAGTGGCTCTTGAACAGCAGCTGGCGGAAGATCAGCTGATTGAGGGGGAGGAATGGTTTCTAGTGTCTTGTACGTGGTGGAAGCGCGTATTAGGGACGTCTGTAAGCGACGAGAGTGAAGGTCAAACCGACGACGACTCGGAGGACTCGGACGACGCTTTGCCGCGCGGAAATCGGAACTTTCAAGTGAAAAACGACATTTTACTGGACATGGACCTCAGTAGTCACAAGCGCAATATTACAGTGCTCAAGCCCATGCTGGTACGAGCTACAACGGAGCTTTAGATGCTAAAGTACAATCACTTGAAGGTATCTGATACAATGCAACTATATTAATTTATACAGGTAGAAGGCAAAGACTATCGCCTGGTAAGCCAACGGGTATGGAACCAATTATCGGACCATTTTGGATTCGATTGGGAGATTTCAAGACCTGTGGTGACACGAGGACCTGCGAAGAATCGAGTTGTAGAGGTCAATCCATTTACTTTTGAAGTAAGTTTTGGTATAGATGTCAAGGTCTACGTGATGGTTAAACGAGTACAAAACAATAACCTAATTTTATCTTTTGCTATGTAGGTGTTTGTGTGGTGTACAGGACTGGAAGAACCTGTCGAGCTTTTGGATACAGAGCAGAAACCACTGGTACTGATGGCCAGTGAAAAATGTTTGCTGAAAGAGTTACAGATGCAAGTTTGGAAAGCTGCGACGATGGAGCCGCAGATGAGAAAGATGTTTCCTGATGTGACGGAGGAGACTGTTAATCTGGCGGTGCAAGTTTGCTACCGCATGAATAAGGGTTCGCCTTGGACACCGTTGAAAGATGCAGTGGTGAAGGAACATGAACGGATAAGTAATGGCTTTACGAGCGCAAAGGACTTGGAGAGTTTAGTACAAAGCTTGACAGTGGGTGAGCTGCAGTTGGAGCCTCGAGATTATAAACCTGGGAAGGAGAAATTGCACAATTTGCTGGTAGAGGGACGACTTACAGCAATTGACGGGAATAGCGAATCCGATTGGAGACACGGTAAATTTTACAGTGAAATACAGGCAAATGCGTGGAGGTTCACATTAAAGAAGAACCAACTAATTGACGCACGTGATACGGAGCAGGAATGGTACGAATCTCGCGTGATCGACCTAGATCCGAACAGGGTGAAAGTACATTTCCGTGGATGGACGGCAATATGGGACAGATGGATTGAGCGAACATCGCCAAGAATTGCACCATTACACACTAAGGTTCCAAACTGGCGCAACTTCCAGATTGGTGACGAAATTCTTGTGGGCAAGCAAGTGGAAAAAAAATATTACCCGGAGTGGCGTATTGCACGCGTCACCGATGTTCAAAACTACGAGATAGGCGACTCGCTTCGGATTGAGCTTGATGTGGATGGCAAAAAACGGTGGATAGATGCACAGGATGAATTGCTCTGTCCTGTAGGTACGCATATGGCAGTCAATGCCTCAAGTTTGGCCAAACCACGAGTGTCTTCTTTTTCACCAGCAAGCTCTTACACCCGACACGACCATAACCGACGCAGGACGAGGACGGCCCGAGTTTAAGGGTGTTGTTGGTCTTTCAAACTTAGGTAACACTTGCTTTCTGAACAGCATGCTGCAGTGTTTGATCAACACAGCACCTCTTCGAGAGTACTTTCTTATGAAGGATCCGGCTACGGGGAGTTTATTCTTTACAAAGGAGATTAACAGAGATAATCCGCTAGGCATGAAAGGCATCATGGCCTTTGAGTTTGCCAGCTTGTTACGCGATATGTGGGGAAACGAATTCAAAATAGTCACCCCGACGAAAGTGAAATCTGTGATTGGCCAGTATGCACCACAGTTTGCTGGATACCAGCAGCAAGATAGCCAGGAGCTCATGAACTTCTTGTTAGACGGTCTGCATGAAGATCTGAATCGCGTCAAGTCAAAGCCGTATACCGAACCCGTTGAGCGAAATGGTCGCAGTGATGCAGAAGTAGCCCAAGACGAGTGGAAGCAATTTTTTCGCCGCAACGAAAGCGTTATTGTGGACAACTTTATGGGACAACTTCGCAGTCATGTGACGTGCTCAAATCCTGCTTGTGGAAACGAGTCAATTACCTTTGATCCGTACATGAGTTTGTCGGTACCAATCCCAAACAACGAAACTGTCGTTGTCCAAATCCAGTTGTTTTGGGCCAATGGCGATATTCCGATGAAATATGCTTTGCGTCTTCCAAAAGATGGCTGCTCCCTACGAGACGCAAAGGCGACTCTAAGTGAGCTTTCAGGCATTCCTGTTTCGCGAATTTTCTTTGTCGAAGTATGGAATCATCGAATTGTTAAAGCATATTCTGACAAGCTGTCCGTCGACCGCGTTCGCGATGGCATCCTTCACGCGTACGAGTTGGAGTCACCGGTGACCGACTATTCATTTTCGTCACCTATTATTCGCCCACCCAGCGGACAGAGAAGATTAGGCACGATGGAATCTGAGCTAGCATCTTCAAAGCAAATGCACCTAGTGGAGTTGCTGCACCAGGCACCGGTTGCGTCGCCAGTGGATGGACGAGCTAGTATGAATGAGTATGACAAGCTAGGCGAAGACGGATATGGACCTAAGCGGCAACGAGTGGAGGTAGAGCTATCCAATACGCCGCTTCTTGTGTCGATCAACCAGAAGTGGACAAAAGACGAGATACATAACAAAGTATGGCAGATTGTGCATCGCCTTGTGGCCACAAAAAAGTCTGGTAACGACTCTGGAACCGATTTTGGCTGTGGCAAGCGCCAGCAACGACCGTATCGCTTGCATGTGACAGATCCTAAAGGTGGAGTCACTATTACAAGTGAGCTTTCTCGCAATGATGAGCCCGTGGAGATTCCTGATAGCACAAGCACGCCATTCCGATTTATCCTTGAGTGGAGTTGCAATGGGTACGTTTTTGGGCTTCTTTAGTTAGTATGCCTTTATCTTACCATTGTCCTCTTGTGTTTTCTTATAGCTATCAACGAGGCTACGACGAAATGTTAGCAAAGCGAATTGAACATCACGAATCCATGGAAAACCTGAAAATCACGCCGAAGACTGACCCCATCACGCTTCACAATTGTTTGGCCAAGTTCACGGAATGCGAACAGCTTGGCGATGCAGATACTTGGTATTGCCCCAAGTGCAAAAATCACGTCCGTGCGTTTAAGAAGTTCGATCTCTTTTCGCTTCCTAAAGTACTGATTTTCCACCTAAAACGCTTTCGCTACGCGCAGAACTCGTTTTATATGCACCGTGATAAGATTTCGACCCTCGTTGATTTTCCCATCGAAGGCTTGGATCTCTCGGAGTTTATGATCGGGCCGCAAAATGGTTCGAAGCCACTCTACGACCTATACGCGGTATCCGAACACGTGGGGGGTCTAGGTGGTGGTCATTACACTGCTATTGCGAAGAATCCAGTAAACAAGTGCTGGTTTGACTATAATGATAGCCACACCAGTGAGACGTTAGCGGAGAAGGCTGTGTCTCCTCGAGCATATGTGCTATTTTACATACGCCGTGACCAAGCCTAAGACATATGTGGGTGTTGGTTGATCCAGGACCGACACTCGCTGCATGTCGAATTAGAAATATGAATCGGGGGAGATTACATGCCTCAAGTTGCTAGCTTGATGTATGTTGGCCACTGTCGGGCAAATTAGCAGCCAAAGTTACATATAAATTAAAGTGGAAGTGGCTAGTGCTCGATTAAAATTGTCGACTTCCACACGATCACCATCGCTCGTTGCAGAATCGATGCAACGCGTAATGGGCTAGGCACGGCTAAAGAAGTGGCGAGTGTCCTGCTGAATCGACGAATTGACACAAATCTGCTCCCTCATCCGGTGCAGAGTCTTCATCTTGTTGCATCCAGAACGTTTTAAGTGTCTGAAGTATCTTCTGTGCATAGGATGATCTTGAGATGCTCTTGGCTGTCGTCATCTCCATCGTCAGCTTTCTCTGTGACAGTGCTGCTTGATTTGACCTGCTGGTTTGTCGACCACATCGTTAATGTCCGGGATGAAAGCCACCACTTGCTCAGCGGGGTAATTGAGGAAGGTTGCAGATGTTCATTGGATTTGGATAATGGAACTGGTGAATATGAGATTCCAGTTATTAGATGATGGCGCTATCCATGAGCAGGGGGTCCCCTTGGACTGGCAGGTTGCCAGATGGTTATGTGCAGATCTTGCAGTGGCGGAAGAAATTTTGAATGGTTTCCAGTTTGACACCGGGACGCCAAGATGGCAGGAGGAGACAGTTGAAGCTGCGCGACTAATGGACGATGAAGCTATGGATGACCCCTTGGTCGCACGGCTGCCTATTTGATGTGATGTTAGGAGGTAGATACAAACTTGTGGTGTTTTGAAAAGAGATCCTGGAAGGAAGCTCACCAACGGGAACATGAGCGCTGCAGTTGTCAAGAATTAGCAAACGCTACGATTCGCCATGCGACGGTCAAAGTCTCTCGGCCCGTCTACGAAAGTCGTTCTGCGTCTTCCACGCCTTAGCGTTGTTACGACACTTGCATGCCATGTTTTGGCGCAAGATATTCTTGAATTATCTGATATTGGAGTACTTTTCGATAATCTTAAGAGGAAGCTTGTGTCTGGCGTCTTTATTGCAGCAAACAACAATAGTGATGCGTTTCTTGTTCTGCTTACGTCCTTCCAGTTGCTGTTCGCTAGAGTTGTCCGCCTAAAAATCAATAAAAAATGACATCGCATGCGCTACGGAACACGTATTGCCTGCAACACTCACCTGCATTCGAAAGAAGAGGCCGGTCTCATCCAGGTTGTAGATGTCCTTGGTCATTCATTTTACCAGGTGTGGTAGGTTGTCGGCAATAACATTTGCATTCACGCTGCCACTTTCTTCAAACGGCGTTACAACAGGTTGGTTGCCGCTTTTTAAACGATTCCAACCAGCAAACATCAGAGAACTTTGATGTATCGTGGTCAAAACAGTCGATAATCTTCCTGCAGCCTCGCACACAACATCCCCACTCAGATTTGCTCGCTCCTGATTACCTTTGAAACAATCGACGAGTGCAGCTTCCATCAGAAAAAAAGTTGACTGCCTGATTTCGCATACTATTTTAAGTTTGCATCGATATCGACTTTGAGAAATTCTGCTCCGCGACACTTGGTAGCATTCGTTGGCTGATCCTACACCTGAGTCTCAACGACTGACCCTTTTGTGAGGATAAAGAGTCTTGCTGACCCCCCTGAGAATCAACAACTTGCGCTTGATATAATTACCGCGTTAAATAAGATCGAACTGATCGACCAATTATGGCCCAAGTCCCTGAAATGATTAATGCACGTCTTGCGGTCTTATTTGAGTTGGCATAGCCATTCTCAAGCTCGGTGTACAACTATACGCGCTGCTTCGAAAGGAGCAGCCGCGACTCAACAGCAGGTCGGCGATTCTAAATCTTTCGCCTCTGTTAACCTTACATCTGATGTCTTGAAATCCCATTATGGAGAGTCAGATTCAGGTGAGGATGAGCAAAAAGCCCATTCGACTCCACATTCGACCTCACTAGCTCGCCGTCGCGAGGGTGGCTACGTGAGTGGTTGATTTTCACACATGCCACCACCAGGCAAGGGGCCACGCTCGAGTATCATTAGTGCAAAGATTTTAGTGCGTGCCACTATTGACGCTAATAAACTTTTTAGCGTCTTTCCATCATGGAAACGGAAGGGCAAAGCAGGAGGTCGTGCTTTTACTATCCCCGTCGTAATGCGTTCGAATGAAACAACCGACGAATACGACGTAAAGTTCCTGCGCCGTGTTACATCGCATATAGATGCAGTGAAACAGCGGTCGTGTTCATAAAATCAAAAATTATAATTTTTTAACAAAAATTTTTTTAAGGGAGATATTGGGTGGTAACATACCCCCAGCTCCTTCTCGTCACGCCACCCCTACTAGTCCATCAGGACCTAGTAGAGCGAGTGCAGCTAATGCTTCTTCTCGTAAGCAGCCACCAGCCCAAGCACGTCGACGCGCAACGCGTTAACCGGTTCCCCAGAGTCAAACCTTTTCGGGTATCCTTTCCACTGGACAAGGATCTGAAGCTTCTATTTCACATGGCGGTCGGCCGACAACCTTTCAACAAGGAATCGTGGGTTCCCACCCGCATCCACCAGTACAGGTGGCTCCCGATAGGAGCGGAGATTATGCTCACCTACTCGCGGCTGCCTATCCTGTTGTGGTTCAGTCGCAGGCAGAGATCGCTGCGCTGAAGCATGAGGTGGCGGATCTTTCGAGTCAAATTTCGCGACTGACTTCGGATCTACGCGCTAAGAATACGAGGGACCGTCAGGGTTATGACCGCCTGAAGACCAGTTCGGACATTATATAGCGACTGGTGATGAGAGACTTGCGTATAACGCGAAGTCCTCCTCGATCACCGAGTTCTCTGTCGTCTGTCTCGTATACGGGAAGTCGTTCTCCTTCCCCGTCGCCTGATCGGCAACTACGCTCGACTCACAGTCGACGTCACCATAGTTCTTTTTAGACTGATGCGGATATGTGATCTCTTGTGGATCCACATACCGTTTAAGTCGACCCACGTAAATTACGGGGTGCGTCTTCATAAATGGTGGGAGAGTGAGTCTATAGTTAAGGTCTTTAACCTCCTCGACCACCTTTAATGGCCCAATGAACCGGGGCAATAGCTTAGTAGTACCACCAGGTAGTACAGAGATTGCATGTTTAGGTAGGGTAGCATTACTTAATAGCACTTTGTCCCCCACACTAAAGTGTTCATTGTTTTTGCGACCATGTCGGTTCGCATATTGTTTTTGCTTGTCGTGTGCGCTTGCTATTGCGTCACGGACTTTACGTGTGATGGATAATCGCTCATCAACAAAGCGCTGAGCTTCGCTCACGCTTTAAGCATACAGCTCGCCTATGACGCCTCCAAGAGGTCGTTCATGGGTCTACGCTGTTGATAACACTATGGTGTCATCATCAAGGAGCACTGGCATTTCTTGCCGTGCCTCCTCTGTGACACCTATAGGTGTCGTGACCACTGCTAAATTAGCAGTGTCACTAGGGCAACTTTGGCCCTCTTTGGCATTCGCACCGAGCGAAGTGAGGGGCCCTTCCCCCACTAAGACTCGGGCTGCGTACAAACGAGACTGGCGTTCGACGATGACGCAGTCCGTTAATGTAAAACGGTGTTTCACCCGTACTGGCGTGAACACTGTTATTAATAGCGAACTCCACGAATGGCAATTGCTTGCTCCATTCTTTGGGAGTCGCTATTGTACACAACACATCCGACACGACTCGATTGGCCCGTTCTGTTTGGCCATCAGTTTGGGGATGATCAGCGGTTGACATTTGGAGCTTGTTTCCCAGCAGCTCAAACACATGTCGCCAAAAACCCGACGTAAAACGCGTGCCCGGTCCGATACTATGGACTCGGGCATCCCGCGTAGTCGATACACGTGATCCAGAAACAAGAGGGCAGCCTCTTTTCCTGAGATCTTGGTGCTAGATGGTGCCAAATGCACCATCTTGCTCAGTCTATCTACAAAGACGACGAGCCCCGTCCTGCCTTTATGGTCAGGCGGCAAGCCAAACATGAAGTCCAAGATGACCGACCCCCAAAAATCCGTTGGAATCGGCATTGACTTCAAAGACGCACTTTTCGAAGGTGCAGGCTTAATGCGCTGACACTCTTCGCAAGAACGAATATAGTTGGCCGCCCATGGGGCCACTAAAATTCCTCTCACACTCGTAAGAATGTCTTTTCACGGCCCATATGCCCACTAGATGGTACTCGTGAAGTATCATCAGCTTGAGATCTGTACATAGATTCTCAAGGGATCACAGGATGACAGCTGATGCCATAACAGGCCATCACTGTAGCTAAAGCGATTTAGTTTCGCTTTGAGGTGCGACGGCAAAGTAACCTTTCGTCCACCAAAATGATCCAACAGCAGGCGACAATGCTCGTCGTGACTGTAAACACTCCTTTACACCGGAGGCCATTGAGATCGTCACATGGTAGGCCTTCATCGCTGTCAATGTTGACGACTCAACTTGTGCTTTCGCACGAGACACCCTTTCCTGGTGTCTTGCCTCGAAGTCTGGTCTGCGCGATAACGCGTCAGCCAAGACATTTGACTTACCCGGCTTATATTCAACTTTGCAATTAAATTCAGAGAAGAATGTTAGCCATCTTTCCATCCTGCGGTGAATTTATAGCAGTTAGCAGTGATGCGTGATCCGTATAAACCACAAAAGGTTCTCTGCCCAAGAGGTGCACGCGAAACTTCACAAGAGCATACTTAATTGAAAGTAGCTCCTTGTCATGCACAGAATAATTCAGCTCGGCAGCTTTAAAAGCCGAGACTGATACGATATGACACGGTCAACGCCGTTGTCATACTTCTGCATGAGCGCGCTGCCGATTGAAAAATTGCTTGCATCGCAGACGACGCTAAAGGGCTTATCCGCGTCTGGCAATGCCAAGACCGGTGCCTCTACAAGAGATTGCTTCACTGATGTGAAC